TCACCCATCAAAGCCTTCCCTGAGACCAACAGTACTGGTACAATTAACTTGTGCATCTCTTTTGTTGCCTGTGTAGAGTTTCCATTCAGGCATTGTAGTGTTTCAGAGCTCCATGGTTACACATGCAACATGATGCTGCACTACTTGAAAGTCTCAGCTTCACCAAGATCTATTCATTTGTCCAATCATCCTTTCTTAGCTCCTGTCATGTTATCTTCTTTTTCCTTTTAGACCCCAAAAACACCAGATATGTCACCATATGCAGACCATTCCTGTAGCTAACTTATATTTTTATGTCTGTGTAGTGATCTTATCTGCCTTGAGGAACCTACAAGAAAAGATCAGGAGGTTGGAGATGGAAAAAGGACATGCAGAGCAGAGTCTGCATGCACTGGGAAAAGATGCTTCACAAACACTTCTACAGAATGAAGATATTACACCGAGACTCTTAAATGATCAAAAAGGCCCAGAAAGACAAAGAAGTGCCCAGTCCAACTGCAACCAAGGTGAGTATGTATAGATGTATAGATTGATTGATAGATAGATAGATAGATAGATAGATAGATAGATGATGATAATAATTTAATTACCTTTTCATATACTTTTATTACTGTCTTGTTTCAAGCTATAGTCTTTTTTTGTTACCTACATGTCTTCTGCGTATCTTCTCTCTATTTCTAGTGCTGATCAACCACCTTGCTGCCGCAGAGTCTCGCTGTTTGAAGCTGGAGCGACAGCTGGATCACATGAGGAAGATGCTGCGCAATGCCAGAACAGAGAGGACCAACCTGCTTAAACAGCAGGTTAAATGTCATGGGCTGTAGCTTTTCATTTAAAATATACAGTGGTCCCTTGTCTATCGCGGTAGTTACGTTTTAAAAATAACAGGTGAAATCCACGAAGTAGTCAACGTTATTTTTTACAATTATTATAGATGTTTTAAGGCTGTAAAACCCCTCACTGCACACTTTATACACTTTTCTCAGACGGGCATGAACATTTTCACACTTTTCTCTCTTGTTTAAACACTCTCAAAGTTCAAACCTTCATAGAAAAATAAGTCCAGTGTTATAGAATGAAACCAAAGTCACCCGCAGTTGCCTTTGACAGTGCAAAATGTTTCGTCGAAATTGTTGTTTGTTGGGGAGAAAACTTACAAACATCACCTCAGAGTCACACTGCTAGCGATAGAAAATTAATGTAAATTTGACAAGCTGAACGCATTCTGTACTGTACAGGAGACACAGTACAAGATTGGCTGTAGACCATTGTCAATCAATCAGGACGCAGAACACAGTGCACTATAAAAAAAAAAAAAAAAGCATGCAAAATTGCACAAAAAAAATCGAAACAGTGAGGCCGCGAAAGATGAAAGATGAACCTCGTTATAGTGAGGGACCACTGTATTCATTTAAAAACTTGAAATCAGTAGTCAGTAGATCCATATTCTTCTTCTCTTGGCTCTTGACGGAGGCGGTCGCACTTTCTCCTTCTCCCTCTCCCTTATCTTTCCTGCTTGGTTTCTCATGTCCTTTGTATAGTCTTGCTTATTCTCTAACCCTAAGAGAGTCTCCCAGACTTGTTCTCTAAAAACCTAAAGAAGAATTATGGATTTGATCAACTGGTCCCTTAACGAAACTGACAACTCCTGGGCTTGGGAGAGCCTGATTGTCCTGCGGAGACATTTGCTGCTGGATACTCGATGGTCGGTTGTGTCGTGTGTCTGGCGACACACTTGATGGAGGACGTTGAACGACATCTACCAATTCGGAACCATGATAACAGAGTTCTGGCTGATTGGAGCTGGCTCGGACCTGGCTTATCGAAGAACAAGAAGCGGCTACAGCTGTTCAAAATTCCACAAGGCTGGCTGACATGATAGAGGATGGGCAGGGCTGTGAGTACTCAGACTGCTTTTGAACGCAATATGGATAAGATCTTGGAGAAGCTCATGGCTCTGCTATATAGATAACATCTTGAAGAAGAACAAATGGAATTGAGAGACCTGTTGATCAGTGACGGACATTAGACCAACTGTAAAATTGGATGGAGTTTGTTCGCACTAACCAAACTAACTACCCTCTTCACCTCATGCGCCCCCCTGGCGCCAGCTGGATGCTCAAGGCAAAAGCTGACGGGAATAACAATTCTCCTTTAGATAATAAGACTGTGTTGTGACTTTCTCCCTCCTCATTCAAGGCCACCCACGTCGACTGAAGATTGTTGATCTCCCTGTTGGAGCTCAGTCTGGGGGGAGTTATTTTTTCTCCTCGTCTTTCCTCATGTTGTGCATTTTCCATTGTTATACCTCTCTGACCTGTCTTCCCCATGTGATGTTGTAATGTATGTATGGTCGGAAGGGTAAGATGGCGCTGGCGAAGGTCGGCAGCCTTAACCCAACAAATTTCCCACATGTGGGACTAATAAAGGTTATCTTATCTTATTAATTGTTATCTTCCTTTCAGGACATCCTACAGAAAGCCAAATCAGCTGAGTGGCAGTCTGACACAGCATCACAGTATGCTCAGTTTGACAAGCTGGAGAGACTTGAGCAGGAGTATCTCAGACTGACACGTACACAGAACATTTCCGAGGTAAATATACAGACTTGTTGACGTAGTGTCAGGTACACTGAAATTATCTACTGAACAACCCATGCTCTTCTGTCATAAGGAAGAGAATATTGCCATTAAACATCATAAAATCCATGGCAGTGGCATCAGGTTTCCCCAGATTACCCACAGTTTGTTTTTCTTCAAGCATGGTTTGATAAATCAAAAGTATGAGTATCAAACTGTAGCTGCCTCCACCAGTGTGTGAATGTGAGAGTGAATGAATAGTGGCATTGTAAAGCGCTTTGGGTGCCTTGAAAAGCGCTATATAAATGCAATCCATCATCAGACTGCTTTCCTGGGGGCTGTAAATGTCCCACTAAAGGGTCTGATTTTGGCCCACAGTTAGCTTTGCAAATTGAGAAAATTGCAGTGAAGCAGTGCATAATTTGTTGGCTATTTCACTGTACTACTTACTTAAATATAGATGAAGCAAGTGGTTCACAAAACATTTAATCACTAAAATAGGTTGTTTTCTCATGTCAGAAATAGGACTTTAAAGCATCTCAAGCTGTTCATCACCTGGTTGTGTCTTTTCTAAGATTACTGAACAACAGTTTTAGTGTAATTTTCAGTTGAATTTCCCACAGCTGATATTAAAGAAAACAGATAAATGTTCACAAGAGTTTACAAGAAGTCTTTAAACAGACCAGAACAAGACAAAAAGAATACTGGTTCTTAGGGGGAGCTCAGAATTTAAAATCCTGTATGTTGTCATGGACCTGGATTAATCTGCACATTAAGAAGCTAAGAATTATTTTCAGGTTTGTTCTTTATTTGTCAGTATTTTCTATTTTTACTAGACTTAAAAGTGGTAACAAGTAAAAGTTAGTGTTTTGATATATTCATCGTATGATGGGTTTGTTTGTCTTCAGATGAAGATCCTTGAGTTGGAGATGAAACTACAGGAAGAGGAGTACCAAAGAAAGCTCATCCAAGACAAGGCCAACCAAGTAATGAGACATGAAATTAAATTTTCATCCTTGCTCTCTCTGTTACTCACTTTACATACTTTCTTCTTTCCAATGCTCAGCTACAGACGGGGTTGGAGGCCAGTAGGATCCTGCTGCAGTCTGTGTCACCGTGCCGATCCGCCAAGAAGTCCAAAGAGAAGAAGTCCAATACAAAGGTTAAGACCTTCACATGCTCAGCTCATGGTTTTACTTCTGTGTGGGACTGCTAAGGTGTCTTCCTTCTTTATAAGTAGATGGTAGAAGAGACAGTTTTGCTCACAAGTGTAGATTTTATTAAAAAGGTTAAACATGTTCATCAGGGAAACCAGATAAAAACATCAATCCAAATTCCATCTTCCCTAGTTTTATTTCCATTTCCTTTCCAGAAATCATCGCAGCAATATTCCCACACAGAGCCACATTATAGACTGAGCCTGAGAGATGTACCCTTTGTTGCTGGAACGGTATAAAAAGAAATGCCCGTGTGATGGAATACAATGGTCTGCCATATTTAACATGCACTTCCCTTACGCTGACTCGCTTTCTTTCTCTCTGATGTTTAGTCAGTAGGCTGCAGCCACTCGGTCAGAGCCAACGTCCAGTCAGTTTTGTCTCTCCTGAAGCGACACCAGCCCCACCTCTGCAACAGCCGCGTCCTCTCACGCAACACAAACGGCTCCGGCACAGACGGCCATCCGCATTCAGAGAGTTCCTCTTCTTCCTCTTCGGCTAGCGGGGAGGAATTATCGGAGCTGCTGCAAGCCCTGCATGAGGAGCTGCGACTCATGAGCTTGTGAGCAGTATTTCATTTGATCTCGACATAAGGCAAGTCACAGTCAAAGATTATCAAAAGTACTTTGGGGGGTTTTTTCAGTGTGTTTCTGCGTGTGTATTGCAGGGAGCATGATGAGTTAATGAGGCAGGTGGAGGATTGTGTGTTTGAACAGGAAAGAAAGGAACTTCGGAGAGTGCAGGAGAGGCTGTTGTTGAAAATGGAGAGGAAAGGAGAGCAGATCAGTAAGCTGTACAAGCACAAGTCGCAGGTGTGTTTTCACATATGCAGTCACTAGTTTTCTTTCTTGTTATTTATTTTTTATTATTATTATAATTTGTTAAAACTTGTGTCTCTTATCTTTTCCTGTCTCTCTACCAGATAAAAAAGTTAAGAAAAGAAGCCAATTGCAGGCAGAGCAATGGGAATGAGGTGAGGGTGTCTACCACAGTGTCCACCAGAGGTCACTCTGCGGCAGCAGTCAAAGCTAGACCAGGAGACAGAAGCAAGATGAATCTGAGGCTCCTGAGGGACATGAAGGCTCTGCAGACCTCATTACGGACCTGACACTTGCCCACACTTTAGGTCACTCTTGTTGGTGCTATTTACCTCCCCTCAGCAATTACTTCAACTTCAAAACAAACACTGGCTGAAAAACACTAGATGAACACGAAGAACCAGCCTGTGTTTACCAAGCGTCTGTTTGATGAGCAGGTTCAAGAGCATATGACCTGAAATTCTTTAATATGTTTTTACTAGAATATTTGAAAAGACTGGTATGAGTCTGATTTAAGATGTCACTGATGATCAACACTAACTGACTTGTTTAAAAGCTTTGTTGTTTTTTCTTAATAATTTCTCATATTACTGTCTGACAATATGTTGAGAATATTTTAAAGAAAACTGGGCTTTAAATGGTACTTGAATTATTATTTACAAGTACTATTAAAGAGACAGTGTCTTGGTTCACGGAGCATTTTACCCCCAACATTTTCCTCTTATCTTATTCTTATTGAAGTCTCTCTACCTATCCTGCAATTTGTGTATGTAAAAGTTACACTTTTATTTTCTATGCAGTTTTAAAGTCCATGATCATTTCTAGAAATGGCCCAAATGTGAGGGGATTTATTTTTACAATCAGGAGTAAACTGGATCTTAGTGAAGACACGTTTATGTTTTTATGTTTGTGCAGTATTGGTCCAGTACATGGTTTTGGTTGTTGAGATTTTTTTGGGGGGGTGGGGCCTGGATACTGAAAATTTCCTCAAACCCTCATGTGCTTGAGGTGCTCCTCTTCCAAAGACTTGTCCTTCCTGCGTTTGATGCTGGTGTCCGACTTCAGTGAAATCACAACATCCATCGAATAAATTCTCCATTCCTGATTACTTTTTCCCAAAATTGTGTGAATCATTATACCATTGCATTAAAAGACCATTTAAATGTCTGTTTCTGTTTCCCTTTTTTTAATCCAAAGTAAATTCTGTTATAATTTCCTGCATTATCAGCGATGTAAATAACAGCACCCTCTAGTTGTTATTGATTAAAATGGTCCAAATACAAAGAATTGTTTATCTGCACACATATACAAATATATGAATCAAAATTACTTAGATGTGACAATAAGAACACATGTTTTAACCCTCCTAAAATGGGTTAAAAAAAAAAAGAAAGAAATTTGGCTGCTACAATTGTAACTCATGCTCAGTTATGAGTTACAGTGGTTTTTGAGTCCCTGTTATTAAAGTGTTATTTATAAGAGGCTGTATGTCACCCAGACCCCAGGGGTGGTTGTTAGCACCAGGCTGGACTGGACAACTCCTTTGTGGAGATGAGACTGGGAAGTCTCTAAACAGGCTGGATTTTCTTGTTGGTTATTTTATGAGAGAAGAGACTGGGTGTGGTGAGAGAGCGGTGAGACGATAATCCTGAAGGGGAAAGCTGCTGGTGGACAAACTGAGCCAAACTGCACAGAGGCATGGTATGCTGCTTTTCATGGTATGCTATCTTTTATTATGTTAGTTTCTCAGCTGGCCTGATTTGTTTGTTGTATTCCCGACAGTATGGATTTATTAATGCCTGTTTGAAATCTATGGTAGTGGAAAAGTTTGGCGAGGAGGCGTGGGTCAAGCTCAGGTAAAAGAAAAATTTCCCTTTGAGAGAGTTGAATTTTTTAAAATCTGTTTGCTTTATTAATAAATTTTTACAGCAGAAACACATTTCTGTTACATTCTTAAAACATATCAGGAAATAAACATATTGTCTTCCCAAAATCATCATCATCATCATACACAGGGATGAAGCTGGAGTCCAGGACACCTTCCTGACACATGAAGTCTACGAAGATGAAATCACTTTGCACTTAGTGGCAGAGGCCTGCAAGCTTTTAGGTGTCTTTCCATTCACGAGTTGTTTCAATATATGAAATTGAAAATTCCAGTCATACATGTTTTTATTTATTTATTTACTTTCAGGAGTAAAACCAGAGGTAGTCTTGAGGCAGTTCGGAGAGTATTTCTTTGAGTTTTGCAAACGCTCCGGCTACCATCACATGCTGCGGACTTTAGGAGGAAATCTGTCTGAATTCACGGAGAATTTGGATGCACTTCACAGCTACCTGTCGCTCTCCTATAAGGTACTTGCTTTCACATCTGTCTCCACCCCTCCTCTTTTTTTATGGAGATATATTTTATCATTCCCTGCTTGATTCTTGCAGGAGATGAATGCACCTTCTTTTCGAGTGGAAAGGAACCCTGATGGAACCATGCTTCTCCATTATTATTCTGACCGCAGAGGACTTTGTCACATTGTTCCTGGTTTATTTGAAACATTTCCTTTAGAAATAACAATTTTGAGCTACATTATTCTCATTCTTAATATGGAGTATTTGGATCTATATACCAAGTGTTCTCTTTTGTAGGTATTATTGGTGCTGTTGCTAAGGATTTTTTCAACAGTGAGATAACAATGGAGATTGTTAACCAGCTAGAGGAACTGGAGAGAACTGGAAAGAAGGAGCACGTGGTTTTCCTAGTTAGCAGTAAAACCGATGCTTCCTCAAAGGCCCAGATCCTTCATTCTTTGACTGATGAACCTAATGCCACCGTCGGGATCAAAAAGGTTAGATTTTAGAAGTGGTAAATTAAATAACAATTTTATTTTATTGGAATTCTAACTCCTTTCTGTTTATGCAAACACTCCGATCATGAAAAGAAAACAAAGATCAGTTTCGCCATGCCCAGGAGTCACTGGCAGACATCAAAGGAGTTGGTTCACATTGGAAAAGGTACAGTTAACATAAAGTGTGGAGCAATGGGCTGTGCCCAACGACTGCTATCAGACTGGAGATAACATATATTTACAACATTTATTTTGCTTTACAGGCAAATCATTGAAGAATTTTGAACCTGTGTATCCCATGAAGCTCAAAATTGACCTGCAGACCTTCTGCCATGCTTTCCCTTTCCATGTAGTCTTTGACGAGCAGGTAAAATTTACAGAAATATATATATAGTTTAGATTAGCGATGAACAGTCTCTGCAGAAACCAACTCAAGAGTCATAAATAATTAGGTCATATAATATTAACGGTGAAAACCTAATGGTGGGTGGTGTGCGGTACAGCTGATGGTGCATCAGGCTGGAGTGAATCTCCAAAGGACTGTCCCTGGGCTGCAGGTTATGAATATCCATTTAGATGAGTACTTCAGCATTGTGCATCCTGAGGTGACTTTCACGATCTCCAGCATCCGGAAGTTCATCAACAGCCACTTTGTCATGCAGACTCGCAGGGAAATGATGCCTGAGGCATGGAAAGACCGGCCTATGCTTCAGCTCAGAGGTAAAAAGAAAGAAACATTTTCTTTTTCTTATGTGTGTATTTTTTTCCATCTTCTGTTATTTGTCTTCAGGTCAGATGATCTGGATGCCTTCTCTGCGCTTCATGTTATATCAAGCCTCTCCTTTGCTGAGAAGCCTTCAGGAGCTGGAGGAAATGCACATGCACATTTCTGACATTGCACCCCATGATGTCACCCGGGACCTTATCCTACTCAATCACCAGCGACTGGCTGAAATGGAGCTATCCAGTCAGCTGGAAAGGAAGAAGGAAGAGCTCCGCATCCTGTCCCAGCACCTTGAGGAAGAGAAGAGAAAGACAGAGAACTTGCTGTATGCCATGCTGCCTAAGCATGTAGCCAACCAGCTGAAAGAGGGCAAAAAAGTAGAAGCAGGTTAATAGATAGTTAAAAGATATAAATACTGGATAATTTGTTTGGGCCTATCTGATGTGGCTGCATCTTAATTTGTGTGTATGTGTCCTACAGGAGAATTCAAAGAATGCACCATATTGTTCAGTGATGTAGTGACGTTTACCAATATCTGTGCCATGTGTGAACCCATTCAAATCGTTCATATGCTTAACTCCATGTACCTGCAATTTGACCGACTCACCACTGTGCACAATGTCTACAAGGTAAATATGAATGGTGTAACCTGTTTTTTTGCATGTACATTTCACTGGAAAAGAAAAGAACCATTCATGCATTTCCATAAAGCTTTTGGTTACGGGTTGGGTTTTTTCCCATCATGTCATCTGTTTGAACCTGACAGAGTATTTTTCTGTTTTTACCAGGTTGAGACCATAGGGGATGCCTACATGGTGGGAGGTGGGGTTCCTATACCTGTCTCCAGCCATGCTGAGAGGGTGGCCAACTTTGCTCTGGGCATGATTATGGCTGCCAAGGCAGTTATTAACCCCATAACTGGAGGACCCATTCAGGTGCAAGGAAGTTTATAGAGCACTTCTTAAGTAAACGGTTGTGAAATGGAAGTGATTTTACTCAATTATTGCGCTACACCATAACGGTAGCTCTGCTGTAAGCAGCAGTGACAAAAACACACTTTCGAGTGGAAGGAGTCTTCTTTCACTCCCCCAAATGCACCTGTGCCAGAGTTTGAATCCAAATATACACATGTAACTCCATCTGTGTGATGTTTTGTATTTCTGTAGATCCGTGTGGGTCTCCACAGTGGTCCTGTATTGGCAGGTGTAGTTGGGGAAAAGATGCCACGCTACTGTCTTTTCGGAGACACTGTCAACACTGCCTCTCGTATGGAGAGTCACGGCCTCCCCAACAAGATCCATTTGAGCCCAACTGTATACCAGTGAGGAGACACATAATATTGCACAAGAAAACCTGCATCCATACACACTTTCATGTGCTATGAAACCTGTGTTATCATCAGAATGATTACTGCCTTTATTTCTAAGTCTTGCGTTCATATATTTCAGGGCTTTAAAGAACAAATGCTTTGTCATCCAGAAACGAGGAGAGATAGAGGTGAAGGGAAAGGGGAGTATGACCACTTACTTTCTTGAAAGGAACACCGGAGTGAGCGAGCAGCAGATTATGGGTCTCTGTGACCTGGAGGCCACAGATGGAGAGGAGAGCAGCCAGGGAAGCTACCAGCCAGGTCTGTATAGACCAAATGTAGTGATTTGTTGTGTGTCTTTGAAATTATAACTGATGGTTGTTTGACATTTCTGTCTGTACATTTCCTCCATCTAAAGCACAAGTGCACACTGCAATAGATGCACAGCCTTAGTATCACATCCTCTACAGAGAAAATAACAAAATCAATATGATAAGAGGGGCACCTCAATTTCAACTGTATATAGAAACAGTCTTGGAGCAAATGTGACCACATAAATTCCTCTAGATTGAATAAAGTATTCTAATTCTGACTGTGTTTTTGTCCTCTTTTACAGGTTTTGAAACAAAGCACAAAGATGAGCCTTTCTTGATCCCAATGAATTACAAAGACAGTCCAAGTGAATCTCTGCCATCATCAAATCTGTCTGAGATTCAAATCCGCCCAATTCTCAAGCCCTCCGACTCAGAAAGCTATGGAAGCCTCGACACTGAAAACCAATCAGAGGATGGAGCTCCTGACCAGTTACAAGCTACTGCTAAATTTGGCCAAACAGAATACACAGAGAAAACCATAGAGGAATTATCCAGTGATAGCCATGTGGACATGCAGGAGCAAAACTTGATGAGTGATTCTTTGGAAACTAATATCGAAAGAAAACATAGCCAAACCCAGTTCTGTGTAGTTCTCTGAGCTGCTAATACCATGCATAATAGTTTACAGGCTGTAAATGGTTTATCAGCAAGAGTGGGTGTAATGATGAGCATGAACCCTTGCAGCTGACACCAACTACTGACAAAATAACTTTGCTGCAGAGATTATGTTCTGTACTTCATCAGTTAGAGTGATTCGCTGCAAAGTACAAGGTTTTCTGTAGATGTGTCATTTATTGGATGTTGCAGATCAAATGTTGAAGTTGCAGGTGAAGTTCAAGTAATGATTATATGCTTTGGTTGTAGCTCATGCGTCTTATATTAGAAGTTTTAATTGTGTCTGCCCTGCACAGTGACAGTGGCACAGTAAGCAAAATGTTTTCATGTTATTGAGAAATGATTATCTATCTATGGAATAATAAAACAGTCTCCTTTAAACATGACTTTCATACCATTTATATTTAATATAAATAATCCAAACACTGGATTCTTTTAAGAAGACTTTTATACATGAAAGCAGAGATTGTGATTTGGTTTTGAGAAAACAAAATACATGCTCAGGAACAGCAGGTCATCTTCAGGAGGTCCATTGACCATCTTCTTCAGTTTACATTGTGAAAAGAAACTAAGATGAATAAATAAATAAAACATCGCTCATGAGGTCTGAGTCAGTGACCACAGCTGTCCGTAAAAGGGTTGTCACCTGTAGGTGTGTGTGTCACTCTCAAGCAACACCCCGGGTCAGGTGAAGAGACCAGATATCTGATCCTCGCTCCGGAGGGCTCTGTGCTTCATCACTGTTGACCATGGTCACATGAAAACAACACCTGTAACCAGAGTCTTCTGTTTGTGTGGTCAGGTGTGATAAAAATCGGTCTGCTGGCTCACTCACTAAGAGCCCAGTATACGTTGGCCTAGATGAAGAGGCCAACCTGTCACATGTCGCAGGCCACAGAGGCTCAGTTCATGTCTGAATTTTGCCTCATTTAAAGTCTGGTTGTTTTCTCAAGAATCCGTCTCAGTTATGGAATCCAGGTCAGACGGTTTAGGATCCTCCTGGTGTTTGGTCAGAGCTGGTCGACTGGTGTAAATGTCATCCACAGGTAGAAGGAAGGTGACAGTTTTCACCTTGGACCTTAAGGTGCAAAGAAAACACAAGAATAATTTTGCTGCAGTTTCAGAAATTCTGTATAAAGACTAGCCTTTTGAGGCAAAGCAATGAACAAAGTACTTTGAATTTAGCCATTAATGGAAACAGCAACTAAAGCCGCTGTGAGGTCAAGTTTAAGATGAATTTTTGTTTGAGGCTACAGTTGGGGCATTTATAGTATTTATCTCTACCTGTTTTTATGAACATATTCCTGCAGGGAGTGCCGGTTGGTAATTTTTCCCACGTCTTCCTTCGTTGAGTTACCAAAGACACCTTTCCCATGTTGGATTTCTTCTTGCAGTCTTTCCCAACCAGAGTTGCTTGGCCGGACCCTGTTAATCCTTCCGTCCCGTACAGTCACACCAGACAGGTTGGAACTTGTAGAGTACCTCCGAACAGTCATCATAGTGTTTTCTTTGAAACAGCACAAACATGATGGATGGAAAGATTTTTATTTATTTATTTATTTTACAGGGCAGGGATGCCTATAGACAGGAAACAGTAATGTCATGTTCTGAGGTGTCTCTAAATATTATGTTTTAAAGTTTATATTAAATTTACGAATATTATAAAAGGCTATAATTAACATGTTTTGATTTTTCCTTAGATATGTTGTGGCCATTTATTGTGAATAAGGAATCTCCTCAAATCTCCTTAAAAAAGGATGACCATTGAATCAGAACGAACCTATAATGAGCCCTAATTCTAGTTTTAAAGTAAATTTTTATATAATAAAGAACCCTAAGAGATAGCCTATCATACTATTTTATTAGTTTAAACTCAGTCTGATGCCCCACTCCACTTCCCTCTTACCCTTGTATTGTCCCTCCAGGACCGGCGCAGACGCATTTCGCCTCAGGTTCACATAAGGGTTATCATCCTTGTCAGCCTGCTTCTTAACTGCTGATGACACGGGACTAGCTTCTCCTGGCATGGCCGCAAGTGAACGCTGACCAAAGTCTCCCCGCAGCTCCCGGTTCTCCGCTTCCAGCTTCTTGATTTCGTCCCGCATCTCCATGATCACCTGCGCCAGGCTGCGGGTGCTCTCCATGGTGCTGTTGCTGCGGTGCCAGTACCACGGCTTCCCAAACACCGGCAGGGAGTCGCGCAATAGAAGCTCACCGTGCTCCTGCGGCTTTATCATTGCGGGCCCCAAAGCTTTTGTGGTTCTCCTGCTTAGAAGCTCTCCAGGTTCTCTGCGTCTGTCAATCTCGGTCCAGATCTTGTTATGGGGAAGATTACATCGCCTTTCACCACTTGTACAGCTGAAAGCGCTCCGGTGATCATCCAGCAGCACACAAAGAATGTTTTATTCATCACGCCCGGCGTCCGGTTTCAGGAAAACTAAGCAGGGGTCGGAAATGAATTGTGCACTGCACAAAAGCTAGAGCGGCACTTAAAAGGAGTTTTTGACATCGTTTTTGTGCCTATAATATTTGTAGCAACTATATGTTTAAGGTGTAGGGATGATTTTGGGATCCCAGCTTTACTGTGTGGGGGTCATTTCTCTGTTGGGATTACAATGTCCTCCCCCTGAAATATTAATTAAATCTGTCAGCCAAGACAAATCTTGGAGTGAGACTGAATAGGGGCCTGTTCTGTTTTTGTTTTTTTTGGTGTGTGTGTGTGTGTGTGTGCACGTGCCCTGATTTTGATGCATAAGATCATTTAGAGCAGAGCATTTAAAAAAAATAAGTGTAATGGATTATTTGCACAATGACAGTGTGAGTGTTTTTTCAATATGAGCAATTTCACTCAGAAGACAGATATTAATTCTGTCTATTTAATAGGCTATATGATCCTCTGTCTCATGAATATGCATGTTTGATGAAAGGGAGGAGGGGGGTTAAACCAGAAATTGCAGGCAGTTTTGAAGAAAAAGACAGTAGAAAAAAAAGCAGGTGTTTGATAATAATAATAATAATAATAATAATAATAATAATAATAATAATAATAATAATAAGAGAAGGAACAAACATGAAATGCAACAGGATGCACTCCAAAGAAAATTTCAGCAAATTACACTCAGTGGGACTTCCATAGTCAGGATGAATGGTCCGGTGTGCCAGTAGAGCTCATGTGGCAACAGGTTGTGACCCCTTATAAATAGACCAGAAAGTCTGTGAGCGTGTACCCTAGCTGGCCCGACTCAAACAAAAACCGAGGTTACCCACATAATTTAAAATGGCATAATCCATAATATACAAGTGATGTAAGGAAGGGTGTTTAGCTAATTAACAAATTAAAATAGAGCCCCAGTTGGTTTTCTCATGTGTGACTTGGACTGAATGGTGGTGGCTCAGGGCAACCCGAGCCTCCCAGAGTCTAGGCCACGGGGATGGAGACAGGCACACATAAACTAGTCTGTGGAGGAGAGAAACCCAATAAGCTCCCCTTTCTGGTTCACAAAATAGGCTACAGAGAAGGCGGGAGGTGAGAGAGATGAGACTGAGGATGGGAGTACTGCCGATTGGCTGGCAGAAAAACAGTTTGTGTAGAGGACTTATTGTAGAGAGTCAGTGCAACTCAATCTGCTGCAACTCAGGTGTGGAACAGAGGGAGTGTGAAGAGAGAGACATAAATTTGTCAGCTGTCTTGTCAGACTGCGATAACAACAACAGACAAGTGTGAGAAAGAGATGGCGAGTGAGTGAGTGAGAGAGAAATAAAGGCCATATTTTGTCTTTTACCACCAACTGCATTTTCAGGGCCACTTAACCTCTTTTTATGTGCCGTGTACAAACCCCAGGCTTAGCATCAATTAGTAAAGAAGCACTCTGCTGCTGTATCTCTGCATGGTCAGTAATTATACCCAACAAGTGGAAAAAAACTGACATCAGATCCGTTGGAAAACTGGTCACTGTGGGAGCACACTAAATTTTAATGCCATGTCACTTTCAATGAAACCTCAACCACAATTTTATACCCTCCAGTGTGCTAAAGTCAGTGCAACACACTCTACTGACAGATGCATTTGTGAGAGTATGTGTCTATGTTACTTAATTTCAACTGCCTATGTGGGTATAGCTTTTGAGTGTCCTTATGAATTAAATCAAGGAATTCTACCTGATGACAGTTGTCTGATATCAGGCTGTGTTGAAGTATTATATACTGAATAATAGTTTTAAAAAAAGGTCTGCAAAACCATCTCTAGGGTTTATAGAGAATTATTCAAAAAGACAAAACATCCTATGAGTGGCAGCTCTCTGCAATGAAAATGCTTTGTTGATGGCCAGACTGCTTTGAGCTGATAAAAAGGCAACAGTAAGGTATGCAAAAGAGCATCTCTAAACATGGCAATGTCAAACCTTGAAGGAGATGAGCTACAACAGCAGAAACTGGGTGCCGCTCCTGTCAGCTAAGAAAAGGAAACTGAAGCTACAATTCACTCACCAAAATTGGACAACAGAAGGTTGCTGCTGATGGTATAATGATGTGGGGATATTTTGTTTGCACACTTTGGGCCCTTTCAGTTCAATTTTATTTAGATAGTGTCAAATCACAAAAAACAGTTGACTCAAGGTGCTTTATATTGTAAGGTAAAGGCCCTAAAATAATACAAAGAAAACAGAGAAAACCCCAACAATCATATAAGCCCCTATGAGCAAGCGCTTTGGCAACAGTTGGAAGTAAAAACTCCCTTTTAACAGGAAGAAACCCTCAACACAGGGAAGGCCATCTGTCGTGACCGGTTAGAGTTAGGGGAGGAAAATAGGACAAAGACACACTGTTGGAACTAAAACCTTTTGTACCAAAGAGTATTTTTTATAGACCAGTCTACCTACCTACGAAGTATTGTGGTGTACCATGTCCATGCCTTTATGATCACAATGTAGCCATCAGTGTTAGGGTACTTGGGTCGTTGACCCAGTGTTTTGTGTCTTTTGATTCATTATGTTCTCGGTGTATTTTATATTTCCTAGTTTTGTTTACTTATTCTATTGAGTTTATTCAATATTTCTAGTTTTGGTGATCTTAGTTAGTATTTGGTCCTGTTCATGTTTTGGTCTCGTCTGTGTCTTGTTTGTCTGTGTCTTAGCCCTGTGTTTCTTCCCCAGTCATGTCTCTGTGTGCATCTGCGTCTCATTGTGTGTTCCCTGTATTTCCTGTTTTACTTTGGTAGTCTTCTGTCGCTGTACTCATGTTCTGTTTTGCTTCTCCAATGTCTCGTCTGTTTGATTAGTGCAAGCTGTGTTTCCCAGGTTAGTAAAACTAGTAAAATGCTCTGATTTAGGGGAAAGATGTGGCTATAGTGAAATATATGAAGTCAACATTGAAGATGTAGGGAAACACAAAAAAACCCAAAACAATAGTCACACATAAGTGATAAAGAGAGCCATTGTTTATAACACCAGGGAGCAAAGTTAAAAAAAAAAAGAAGTTTTTTTTCTTCTTTGTCTTTGCCTGAGTTTGCTAATTTAAAATGTCTAATTAATGAATTAGCCGGTCTCAGGCCAATGCAAGACAGAATATGAGTGGCTGCTATGCAGATTTACAGCCAAGACACAGACTGGATGAGTAAACTTACAGATACAACATAGCAGAGGACCTGTAACCATAATGTAAGGTGCAATTATAAAAAACAACAAAGGACTCACAACAACAAATTAAGCTACGTAAACATAGTCATGATCTTTGGACATTAACAAAATTTTATTTAAATGTTATACATAAAACTTTAGTTTTGTTTGTTTGTTTGTTTGTTTTTATTCAGCTAAACAAATTTATATATTGTATATTTTATAAAAAGCAACATTTCAAACATTTTTAAATATTAATATTTCTTATTTACAATTTAAAACAGTACAGGAAATAATAACAGTAACAATGAATTTTCAATTATAAAAATGTTACAAAACATATTTTTTTTGTCTGTTTCCATTTGAAAATTGGCAAGCTGATATTTCCAGATCGTTAGCTAGGATACAAAGTAGCAATGTGGAGCTGCTCTACATTCAAACAAGAACTGGAGGTGCGTTCAACTCCTCACATTCTTGGCTAATTAAAACCTGTAATCTAATCATTTGCCATTTTCACATTAGTTGTCTTGCGAGACTACTTTTAATAGTTTGAAATTCAGTAATATTCCACAGAAAAATGTAAAAATAACTGTAATCAAAATGCACCAGAGAGCTTTATATTTCATACAGCTGAACGCACCTCGAGCTCAGTAAGGTCACTGTTCTCTAAAGGGTCAGGGTTGTGGAGAGAAGGCGCATGTTGTGTGTTTGTGTGCATTTGAATTTGTTTGCAGGTTTGTCTGCCAATATGTAAGCAAATGTAATCACTTGAGGGGACAGGGAAATCTATACGACACACGAACCGAGTCTTTTAAATCAAAACGTACAGTAGCTAACAGTCCAGCAGTCTGCTCTCTACTGTAGACAAAGTTCAACAACAGGACTACAGACTACCACAACCACAGTCTACACACTTCTTCCCTTAATGTCCTCTACACTCTTCATCAGTCACAGTTCCACTAGCCAACTGCTTCAGGGGGAAAAAAAGGTCGGAAACAATCAAATGAGTCACTCTGAGGCTCAAACTGGGACAAAATGTTTATGGCGAATCTACTGGCCGTTCAGTAGGTGCTGTGCCTTTCTGTTCCTGGTTGTCTTGTGTGAGGAATCTGCACAAGAATAAGAATAAAAAGCTGCAATTGGAATAGGAAAAATGCAAACGCGAGCAAATATCAAGTCTGGCACTTTGGTTCCTGAGTTGGGAGCTGGGATTTCAGGTAACAATAAAGTGGGTTAAGCAAGCATAAAGGCGAAAAAGATGTCTTTCTGTAAAGAAATCTGATGACATGACAGCAGTTTTACAGAGAGTGGACAGGGAGTGGTTAGGCAGAGAAGATGAATGGAAGGCAAAGATGCTTTTAAAAGCAGCAGTGTGAGAAAAGGTTGCAACAGAAGAGGATGTCCACGAAAATAATAACTGCCTCCTGAAATAATGCATGAAGAAAAAAAGAGGGTGCTCAGTATGCCATGCAACTGAACTGCCAACAAATAAATTAAAGAATGTATGGCAGTATAGTCTGGACACTCATTAGTCTTTGCATTGTGAGACCTGTTCATTCATGATCCCAGAAAGCTCAGTCAGCATGTCCCGGTAGTGAGCTCTCATCTCCTCCTGGTACTCCAGCTGGT